AGTTTCCACAGTCTGTGTTGATTTGGGGAGCCATGTAATCTGCTGGTGTTGGTCCACTGTTCTTCTGTCAGGGATCGCATAGGTCTGCGCATGCACAGATTGCCGAAATGCACTAACATGCCAGCGCTAGGACCTGCATGCCCGGGCCGGCAGTTGCGGCCGCGCATGTGCACTCGCGCACACGGGCACGCGCTTGCCATCAATGACAGCGCAGGGAGCTCTATTTAAAGCCGGCTCTTGCAATGCTCAAGTGCCGTATGGTCTTATTCCTGTGTTCCTGTTCCTAGTTCTGAGATTGCCTTGTTGCCGAACCTGCCTGACCCAGATTACCGTGACCCTCTCCTGCCCTGATCCCTGGCTTGTCTGACCATTCTTCTGCCTTCTCCTGTTTACCTGACCTCCTGTTGCTGAACCTGGCCTGTGACCCGTTTATCCTTTGCCTGCTGATCTGTACCGTCTGCCTCCGCTGTTACCGACGCTACACACTATCTCTTCACATCTGGCTCCCACCTGCTACCTACCACTTGAAAAACCACCTCTACCACAGCCGTTGTACTTGGGAGTCACGACCTGGTCTCAGGCTGCTTCAAGTCCCTCCCCACCATCAGGGGCCCTGGAGAAACAGCAGACTGAGGCTTAGACTCTGCACCCTGAGGAATTCTGACCTGTGGGTCACTAGAGGCTACTGCTAGTTGGTCCGTGACAGCTTCATTAAGACCAGGGTCAACGCAGCTGTCTACCAGGAGATTTTGGAGCACTTCATGCTTCCTTCCCCAGACGAGCTTTATGGGGATGCTGAATTAATTTTCCAGCAGGACTTGGCACCTGCCCACACTGCCAAAAGCACCAATACCTGGTTCAATGACCGTGGGATTACTGTGCTTGATTGGCTAGCAAACTCGCCTGACCTGAACCCCATAGAGAAACTATGGGGCATTGCCAAGAGAAAGATGAGAGACATGAGACCAAATAATGCAGAAGAGCTGAAGGCCGCTATTGAAGCATCCTGGTCTTCCATAACACCTCAGCAGTGCCACAGGCTGATAGCTTCCATGCCACGCCACATTGAGGCAGTAATTGCTGCAAAAGGGGCCCAAACCAAGTACTGAGTACATATGCATGCTTATACTTTTCAGAGGTCTGATATTGTTCTATGTACAATTCTTGTTTTATTGATTGCATGTAATATTCTAATTTTCTGAGATTTGTGGATTTGGGGTTTTCATGAGCTGTAAGCCATAATCATCACAATTATGACAAATCACGGCTTGAACTAACTTGCTTTGCATGTAATGAGTCTATCTCATATATTAGTTTCACCTTTTAAGTTGCATTACAGAAATAAATTAACTTTTGCACGATATTCTAATTTTTCGAGTTTCACCTGTATATACTGAGATTTTTAAAAATTTTTACTAGTAATGGCGGCGATCAGCGACTTATAGCGGGACTTCGGCGGGCATTCTGACACTGGGGGGGAAATGACTTGGTGTCACGGACATCCCCAGTGACACCAATACAGTGATCAGTGCTAATAAAAGGCACTGACACTGTACTAATGTTAACCTTTTTGTTAGCCCATAGGGCACTGTAGTACACGCAGATCTGTGGGGCCCCTATATGTAAGTAGGCTGTTATATCCTTATAGCAGAGGCAGCGCAGCTATACTTATACACTGTACTAATGGCACTGGGCAAGAAGGGGTTAACATGTGGGCCTATCAAAGGGTTACCTGTGTGCTGTGTGCCATTTTACATACTGTGCTGTGTTAGTGCTTCACTGTAAGCACACTGACTGAATCCGACGATGGGCTGACACAGTGGGCTCATTCGACTGCACACGGGTAACATAAGCCTAATTGCTCTGGGATGGACGTTGCACAAACCGTAACAAGCATAGAGGGAGTATACGTTTCAGGCAGGCCTATAATGCACAGATTGTTCCACTGTGAGCGTTTTTTAAGATCATCTATCTTGTCCTGAAGTTCCCTCTGAACGGACGTGAGTCTGGTTACCGCAGTCGTTACAGCAATAGAGTTGTCCCCAATGCAGGAGATCAGGTCTTCTACCTGAGCGATACACTGGGCACATGGAGATCTTGTGAAGTTGTTCTAGGCCTTTAAAAAAAACTGCGTTGTCGACGGCTGCAGAGAGAGTTGGGGTGAGAAGTGCCATCGCTGCCTGGGCAATGCCCGCTGGGGAGGCAAGGTCTGGAGGCTGAGGAGCAGAGAGTTGTGTAGTAGGAGCCTGGTCTCCTGTGTCAGTGTGGAGGATGCTTGCGGAGGCCGTCTTGGCTGCAGCGGCAGCTGTGTCCCCTTGTGACAGGTGAGGGGCGGAGGAGGAGCAGATGAGTGACTGCTCCACAAAGCAGTCCATATGGTTCCCCTTATGCAGCGGGTGTGGAGGGGAGGTGAACCCCTAAGCTTAGCAGGCTTTTTAGGGTGCAGTGGAGGAGGGCAGCGGGAGTGCCTATACTTCACTTCCTCTCCATGAGGTACCATAACCGGAGGTCCCCTAGTTTTTAATATGTTCCTGAGCCTATAAGAAGGGATGATCTCTCTCCAGGCATGTCTGCCCTTAATTTATCCACTGCTAATACAGTATATGCTCCAACTTGGAGACTCTCAAAAATATGAGTTAGGACCACACTATACAGAAAAGCCTTGGCAAGGCAGTGCGGCTTCCACATATATTTGCAAATGTGTGCAACTTAACCCTTAGTTTTTAATGTGAATTGTTAAATCCAGTGGCAGATCAGGGTGGCAGTGGAGTACAAACAAGGCAAATACAAGCTTTTTGCTTTGTCTACTATGGACAAAAAACAGGTTTACTTTATATAAACTGTAAATTTGTATTAAAGGGAACTTAAATGATATGCTGAAATTCGGGAACCCTGAGGTTATGAATACGATAACAATCAGATGACCATATACAGTACAATGACTTTTACTTACTTTATTCGTTCATATATGTGATATCAGATTCAAGTAAATTAACAATATTATTACTTCAACCATCAACAAGTTACATCATTATTACATAATTCTAACATATGTATACAGAATACATTTGTTGATAAGGGTAACAAATATTTTACTTATAAAACTGTTGATACTTCTGTATCTCATTTATGTTAATTTACAATTTTATGTACACTACAAAATCGTAAAGGTTTTGTTATTTCGCTTTAAAATCTTAATAAAATGTATTGAACACAAAGTGAACTTAAATATAAGGTGCATAGTATTTTCCCATAGACACTTAGGGGTCTATTTATAAAAAAAAATTACTGTGTGAATGTTTTAGTATTTGCTCAAAATACACAACTAATGACTGTACTGTTTGTAATATGTGTGAAATATCAGTTTCTATTTGTCTTTCATAGGGGGAATATAACATTCCCTAACATTCATTCCTAAGAGAAAATTTAGGAAGCCTTAAGAACATTTGACCAAAAAAGATAAAGAACCTTCGACCAACAGAGGAAAACTAAGGCCCCTTTCACAGGATCGTTCTAATCAGGTACAGCTGTCAGTTTTTCAGGTGGACCCGATTGGAAGATCCATTCACAGAAGGGGATCCATTCTCCTCCGTGTAGGTGGATTGGATCAGAGATAGTCAGGTGTAAATGGACAGCAGAGTCAGTTTACACCTGGCTGCCTATAGAACAGAGCAGGCTCAGTCCATGTTCATTCTGCACAAAGTAAGCAGACACAGACTTGTCGTCCGCTCACTGTGCTCTGATCAGCAGGGGATATGTGAGTGGATACCCTGATGATCAGAATCCGTATCAGAAATGTTACAATACTGCATAGACAGAACTCTGCTCTTTACCGTAGGTAGGTGTAAAGGGATTCAGATGAGTACATTTGCAAAACACTGGAGTTTAGTCTCTAAAATTGTATCAATTCTTTATAGCTGTTCACTTTCTGCAGTAGCTGATTCACTCCACTTAAAGTTGTACTTCAAGTACAAAAACTTTAATTCAAAGTAGTTCTAAAGCCTGAACATTTTTTACCTTAATGCAGTGGAATAAATCAGCTGCTGCAGAGAGTGAACTCCTATACAGAATTGATACAATCTTGAAGATTTTCTCAATCTCCCCCTCGATCTCAATCTCAATTCAGGGATGTGCACAAGAGCAACGTCTCTCTCTCCTCATTGGCTCAAAGACAGCACCAGGAGCCATTGGCTCCTGCTGCTTTCAGTCACAGCCAGTGAAGGGAGAGCTAGAGAAGTGTTGAACCATGCTCTATATGTGTAGGGACACAGAGAGTGGGGCTAGGGAGCAAGCAAACATCAGTGCCCGCCTAGCAGTTGGCAGGGGGAAGGAGCTAACAGTGCCGGAATAGGAACCAAGAGGAGGAGGACTAGAGCTGCTCTATGTAAAACCACTACACAGAGCAGGTAAGCATAACGTGTGCTATTTTGACAATCAATAAATATATAACAGGAGCCTTTGCAATTACTTTTAAATAAATTCCTCAATAGCCCAAAGGCTATCAATCAAATTTTTGTGCACCATATGCCCTTGCAATTCAGGATGTTTCCTTGTAAAAGTAGTGGTTTGCTGTACGGACTGTGCAGTGAGCAAAACTGTGGGAAGGACCCATCAGGCTCCACCCACTATGGGCTGCCTGCAGAAAGCTACAGAAGGGGCAGGGAAAAGATCAGTCATCCTGCAAAAGAAGAGAAAACAGCAGTGACTGGTCTGTATTACAAGAAGCTCCTGCACCAAGGCAAAGTTTCACACTGGATTACTACAGAGATCTAAAAGAAATGAACAAAGAACACCAAGATTCAAGTAATAATACACATGGCTTTTGTATGTGCATATCCCAGTTCCCTCAGCTCTATCTGGTGGTCATAAGATGCTATTTTCTTGATTCACTCTATTCTTATCATGTGTTATCTCTTCTTGCATTCTTAAAATGATTTTCTCTTAGGAACAAAATATTAGGGAATATTACATTCACCCTGTGAAAGGCAGCAAGCACAGGCTGACATTTCACATACACTATATTGCCAAATGTATTATTGGAACACCCCTACAAATCATTGGTTTCAGGTGTTCCAATCACCTCCATGGCCACAGGTATATAAAATCAATCAATTAGGCATGCAGACTGCTTCTAAAACATTTGTGAAAGAATGGGTCACTCTCAGGAGCTCAGTGAACTCAAGTGTGGTACTGTGATAGGTTGCCACCTGTGCAATAAGTCCATCCATGACATTTTCTTGCTACTAAAATATTCCACGGTCAACTGTTAGTGGTATTGTAACAAAGTGGAAGCAACTGGGAACAACAGCAACTCAGCCATGAAGTGGTAGGCCACCTAAAATGACAGAGCGGGGTTAGCGCATGCTGAAGCTCACAGTGCGCAAGAGTCGCCAAATGTCTGCAGAGTCACTAGCTAAAGACCTGCAAACTTTGTGTGGCCTTCAAATTAGCACAACAACTGTGCGCAGGGAAATTCATGGAATGGGTTTTCATGGCCAAGCAGCTGCATCTAAGCCTTATATCACCAAGTGCAATGCAAAGCATCGGATGCAGTGGTGTAAATTAGGCTGCCACTGGACTCTAGAGCATTGGAGACGTGTTCTCTGGAGTGACAAATCATGCTTCACTGTCTGGCAATCCGATGAACATGTTTGGGCTTAGTGGTTGCCAGGAGAACGGTACTTGCCTGACTTCATTGTGCCAAGTGTAAAGTTTGAAGGGAGATTATGGTGTGGAGTTGTTTTTCAGGGGTTGGGCTTGGCCCCATAGTTCCAGTGAAGGGAACTCTTAAGGCATCAGCATACCAAGACAATTTCATGCTACCAACTTTGTGGGAACAGTTTGGGGCTTGGCCCCTTCCTGATCCAACATGACTGTGCACCAGTGCACAAAGTAAAGTCCTTAAAGACATGGATGAACAAGTTTTTTGGGGTGGAGGAACTTGACTGGCCTGCGCAAAGTCCTTACCTCAATCTAATAGAACACCTTTTGGATGAATTAGAGCAGAGAACGTGAGCCAAGCCTTCTTGTCTTAAATCAATGCCTGACATCACAAATTCGCTTCTGGAAGAAAGGTCAAACATTCCCATAGACACACTCCTAAAACTTTTGGACAGCCTTCTCACAAGAGTTGAAGCTGTTATAGCTGCAAAGGGTGGGCCAACTTAATATTGAACCCTACGGACTAAAACTGGGATGCCATCAAAGTTCATGTGCATGGAAAGGCAGGTGTCCCAATCCTTTTGGCAATATAGTGTATATTTCAAACAACAGAGCTATTATTTGTAAATTTTGTTGAAACACTCACACTGCCAACCTCATAGTGTGGACAGAAAAAAAAGAGGCACAAGCTTTTAACTTTGCAAGTGATGATCTGACCTATGAGAATCAGATATCCCATAGAATGGCTAAAAAGATGCAGCTGGTCTGACCACGTGCATTAATTGTACAAATCCTGCCATTGTGACCCAGCTGTTCCACAAGAACAGAATCTTTTCTTAAAAAGGCCAATAGTGGTGTCTAAGGGAGTGCAGCAGTGTGAAGATGGTTAAGATTTCAGCTCAGATGTTTTATCAGTGCAGCCCAGCCACCCCAGTCCTGGTCATCTTCCAAGTATACAGTGTGCAAAGGTAAAATCCAAAGCCTTTTTTACTCTTTTCTCTGCATGAAGGTGCAGTAAACTGTCAGTTCGTCACATACTGGTAGCAGGGAGATGATGAAATAGAAAAAGGAGATTAAAACCATGAGGCACACATGGGCAGTTTAATATGACTAGCTTGATTATTTGCTGAAAATCACTATCAGGAGGGACATACTATTAATTTTAAAATAAATATTTCAGTAAAATATAGGGATAAGCAGATGAGAGGAAACCCCCTCTCCAATTAGGTAAATTAACTCCCTGCAATTTACTGTGATCACATGATCCATCCTTCATAGCATACAATCCTGTCCAGCCTTTTTCAACCAGTGTGCCCAGGTTTCTTCAGTGGTGTCTTGACAAAATGCCCAAAAACTGTATACAAGCCAGCAAGTGGATCAGGGCTGCCTTTTAGTTACACAAAGCCACGTTTTCATTGTGCACCATTACAGCCTTCCAGCCGCCAGCATCCTAACAACCAATGACTTTATCGGTTGACAAGGAGTTCGTTGGGCACCTCCACAGCATCCTTGTTTACCCCTCCCTTGCTCCTCTCCATCAGCACTGGGGTCATATCAGTTGATTGAGAGAGAGAAACGGATGGAGAGGAGAAATGCTGGAACAATAGCCAGTGTGCAAAGGTGTATTTGCTTTGAAAGAATAAATCACCTCTAAGGTTAGGTGCCCTATGTGTGTGAATTTTGCTGCATTATGGAAAACTATTAGTTTTTTTTTACATTTTAGAATGGGGTGCAGATTTCAAAGGGTGCCTTGACTGAAAAACAGTTGAGCAACACTGATCCTGTCCCCAAGAGGCATCTGCTTGCTGAAGTCTGAAATTTGCATCCAGGTCTTCTAGTAACAGTGTACAGCAGCCTCCAGGGGAATGTACTGTCAGCGTCACTGCAAAAGGTAACCCAGCAGAAAGCCTTTTAAGATTTGCTGCAGACTGGAGAATTTGAGAATAATCCAAGGATTCGCTCAATTCACTTCCAAATCTACTGTATATGAAGAGGATTATTAGCTTCCCATGCCACTATTCAAGGTGAATAACAATTAAGATAGTAAGAATTTTAAGAGCAACATCTCATTCTGAAATGCATCATCTCACTCTAAAATGCATAACTTTCCATCTTTACAAAAGATAATGCAACCAGATTTTCATACAAATGTAGATTATGATGAAGGTAAAGGGCATTACATTTTCTGAGTAGGAGAGAAGAAAAAACTTTATGGTTTGCTATAAATGGCAGAAATATCACTTGCTTAGTGTAAGGAAAAAAAATGTTATTCTGTCACGCTGAGAGAGCCCTACAATTAATAAAATATATTCCAACTGCCAATCTGTCTTTGATTTTTTTCTATTATCTCAGAGATTATAATTAAAGAGAAATAAACATCCATTATCCTACTTCAGAGACAAACATCTTGGCATGGAATCTGATTACCACTGATATTCATCCCAAGAAAACGGTAAAAAACTGCGAACAAATGGGGTAAGGCTCATTGATATGCCATGAATAAACAAGAAGTTTGGAATTTTTCATTATTTTATTAATTATCTATTATTTATTAATTATCATTATTTATTAATTATCTGTATTAATGACCATTACCATGTGAAATTATTAAATAATTATTATTGTTATTATATTACCATATGTATAATTATTATAGTGCAGCTTCTGTTTATGAGGTGTTGGCACATGCGTACAGCAGCTTCAAAAGGTCAGCAGATACAGCTGAATGCTGGGTTGTTCTGACAGGCAAAGCTTCAAAACTTCCTCATAGGACTGAAGCTTCCCTGACCCCTGGCTGGCCAATGTCCAACACTATGAGCCCCATGGGATATATTTGGATATGCTAGCACTTGTGGTTTAGTCTGTGGTCACAATGGTAAATAATATTAACATCTCATTTACCTGATGTTAATGCTCACTAATGGCCAATTCACATTCAAGTATATGGTTGTGGTGTTTTTTTGCAGTCCATTGACTATGAATAGGCTACCAACACACCACAATGGATGATGATTCAGTTTGTATAAGAGCAATGTGAACATCTAGCTTTTATGAAACTTTCAGCAAACTTTTGCAAATGTTATCCACTGTTATTAATAAGAGTGCTGATTATCACTTTAAACATGCTGCTAGCAGGCTTCTGCAGGTTTTCAACAAGCTTCAAGCAGTGCTAAAGCCTGCTAGCAGCTTGCTTAAAGTGGCAGCTGAAGCCCATGTGAAACAGGTCTTAAAGGATATGGCTGTATGCTGGTTTACGCATGTTTAAATTAAGAGCTGTGTATACCTGCACACAACTGTAAAGGTTGTACCGTTGGCTATACGCAAAACTCATGGCTCCTGGGAGCTGCAATACAGCCATATTTTACCATATATGACCCAATGCACTCTAGCGTATAAGCTGTAACTCCTGGGGTTAACCTCTTGCTGACCACGTTAAGCATATGTGTGGCAACAAAGACCGTGGGCTTTAACGCCCCATATGCTGCTGAGCCAATGGCAGCTGAGGTTTCTGTGCTGAGAGACCTCCCAGACACTGGTTATGATCAGGATCTGTGGGACAGGCTCCTGATCATATGACCACTGACAGCCAAACACATGATCACATGATCAAGAGGTCCATCAACCCCCCCTTTCCCAGTGAAAATCCCAGATAGATGAAATATTTACTTAAAGTACTCAATGTAATTTTACCATGCCCTAATATATAATACAGTGTGGCGATCTGTCACGATATATAAAAAGGATATTTCACCCGGGATTCTCAGCAAGGCAGGTTGAGGGGCTTCAGGGTACTTGTTTGATGCAGAGGAAAGTGGATTTTCACTTTCCTCAGTTATTTGTAAAGTCCATTTTGGGACCTGGAGCCTGGAGATTTCAAAGTGATTTGTGAGGGATGAAATCTCCAATCCTGGGACCAGAATTTGGGAATGGCCAGGAGACTGATTGGTCAGGTGTGCATGGCTTTCTTCTAGAGTCAGGACCAGGGTTCTGGGCTCCACCGGCAGACATTAGTGACATCACTTTATTTTTGAGAACCACGCACAGGTTTTACTTTAACCCCTACCTCCCCACTGTACAAGGCACTGCACAGGGGAAAAGTCACTCTCAAGAGCACAGCAGAATTTTTTTAGTTTTGTATAGAATGCGAAAAGGTATCAGGATACCAAGGGGTCCTTCTGCCCCGTGCCACCTGAACATTCCTTGTGGCATATACCCCCCCCCCCGACCGTGCTTCCCATGACAGTTAGACCACCCCATATATCCAGGCTTCCGGTGGGAATGCATAAGAGCCACTAATCAAAGGCAAAGCCGCCCGTGGCTGCAGCAGAAGCTGTGAAGCCTGCCAGGATGAAAACCTCTGGAACTTCCTGTAAAACCACACGGCTCTCCTCAGGTGACCCTGCTTCACAAGATGACAGCCTGCAGAAGTTTCCCTCAAAGCTGGTAAGCCCCCCCCCCCCCCCCCCCAAACCCTCCACTATACTGCAGAAATTCTTCTCCATAGTCTGTGGAGAGTTAGCAGTAGCTTCATGCAAGCTTTCTTCAGAACTTACTAAGGGTTTAAAGGACTTAGGGCACCGCACTAACCAGTTAGAGAGCCGTTGTGGATCTGGCGACCACAGTGCTCAAGGGGCATGAACTGGAGGTAGACAACCTCCAGGCTGGTTTAGACCAACTTCACGATAAATTAGAGGATGCTGAGAATCGGGCTCGGAGGGATAACTTATGTCCCTGGGGCCTCCCGGAGGCATTCGTGGATCTCCAAGGCACGGCCACCACTTTTTTTTCCAGGAATTGGCCCCTGAGATTCCATTAGAACGACTGGAACTTGACCGCATACACTGTACTCTGAAAGCTAGTCAGCCTGAAGGTCCTCCACGGGATGTCATTATGAAATTCCACTACCACCACACAAAGGAGAGACTGTTGCAAGCAGCCCGAGCTCACCGAAGATTTCTCCTTTCAAGGAAACTTGCTCCAACTATTCGCCATTCTATCACCAATCACCACTGAAACCTAAAGCCATACCTGCAAGTTTTGCAATCTCAGAGCAA